AGGCTACATAGTGAGTTCAAGGCCAGACTCAACTACATTAGTGAGACCCTGTTTCAAAACAACAACAACAAAAAAAACCCAAAATATATTTTCATGTGTGAATGTTCATTTTATTCTACTATATCATGAAGACATAGTCAAAGTGTATCTTTACAAAAGCCTTAATTTGGGCATGGTAGCACACGCCTGTAATCTCAATACTTGGGAGGCAGAGAGGCAGGAGGATCACCACATGTTTGAAGCCAGCCTAGGCTATGTAGTGAGTTCAAGGCTAGCCTGAAGTGAGTGCAAATAATATGTGTCATCTGAAACATTATGGAAACTTTAGGTAACCAGGAAAATTACTACTGACCCTACACTGCTTCCTACCACAAATCTCTTGTCTCTCTCTACATACCACTGTCTCCTTTTAAAAATTTTCTTTGGTTATTTTCTGTTTTACCTAATTTTACCAACCGCCACGAACATGTTTAGTGTTTCACCTGACTTCTTGCCTGTTACAAAGCCATCAATCTTGCAGAACATCGTGCCACACCTGCCTTTACATTTTAAGGTTTTTTTTTTGGTACCGAGAATCGAACTCGGGTCCTTGCACTTGCGCAGCAGGCGGCGAAACCAGAGCTAAATCCCTGGCCCATTGAGGTTTTTTTTCACAGTACTACTGAATAATAAATATGATACTAGAGCTAGAGGTCTACATTCTAGATCCTATTATTAGTCTACCCTACCACTCAATATAAAATAATATAGACAACATAAGAACACATTAAAATAAGATACTAAAACCTGCTATAAAAATAAAGCTATCAAATATGTGATTTAGAAAAAGAAAGTCAATGCAGGAAAATTACAAACATACAAAAAAACCCCGTTTATGTAATTTTATACAGTTAGGTTGTTGTAAACAGGTTATTTTGGTATAAAAGTATATTCTTGGATTCTGAGGACTATAAAACAGATGCTTTTTCTAAAAGATACAGCTAAAAATGTGAAGTTACAAGTTTCATTTCCAGTTAACCCTGAAATTTTAGTTCTATTTCCTTTAAGAATTTTGATGGTTAATCAGAAACACTTAGAAGTTTTTAATATGGAAAATCATACTTGGCTCAAAACATTTCCTGTTGATCAGTATACATATATAGATAGTATCCTTCAAAACAAATTCAAGAACTACTCTGTTAGAGAAATAATAAATTGGCAGAATAAATGAGGGAGCACAAAAATACAACTGCCTGAATAGGCATGCTTTTAAAGACGAGACTGCTAAATAAATCCTAAAACCTGGATCTTGAATGTCTCCCAAAGGCTCCGTGTTGAAGGTTTGGTCCCCAGCTTGTGGTACTACTGGGAGGTGGTAGAACCTCTAGGACCCAGGGGCTACTGGTGGATGTGCCCTTGAAGGGGATATGGGACCCGCCCCTTGCCTCTCCCTTGGCTTCCTGGCCACCATAAGGTGAACAGGTTTCTCTGCCATGTTTTCCTGCCATGATGTACTATCTCATTACAAGATCAAAAGCAGTGGGCCAACCAAACATAGTCTAAAGGCTCCAAAACTGAGAAAAAAAAAACCTTTCCTCTCTTTTACATTGATTATATCAGGTATTCCATCACAGTGATGGAAAGCTAACATATAGAAATTTAAAACAATTTTTTTTCACTATATACTTTAAAAAAAAATGTCTATCTTGTTGTAAAAAAAATATTATTAAGAGGAAGGCACACTGGCACCTCTTTCTCTATTTCAACTTTTTAAGAAGCTATGTGAGTTGAACTTTGATAATGGTATATAACATAGTGGTTTTATTAAAAGCATGGTTTCTGAATTAAGAATGAGAGACTGCAGCCAGTCATGACACTTTGGGTAAATTGTAAAATCTTTTTTGTGCTGTGGGTTCTTTGGCTGCAAAATAGGATAAGGATGTTGTAAAAATAAAGATAATATTTGTGAATAACCAACATGGCACAAGAAGTGTTAACCTATTGTAAGTGCTACCTATTATTTTTGTTGTTGCCGTCCTTAAGAAACATTTTGGGCTGTTCCTCCAGATTTTATATAATCTAATATCAGCATCCCCAATATTTCTGATTCTTTTTCCTTTAATTTTTCTCTTAAGCACATGCCACTGACATACATTTACTTTAGCTGTCTTGTAAACTGCCTGTCTCTCCCATGTAAGAATAAGGCAGAGATTTTTGTTTTATTCGTGGACCTAGACCAGGGTCTAGAAAAGTAACTACCACAAAGCAGATACCTGATACTACTGTGTTACACCAATTCTAAGATACACATATTCTTACATTTTATTAAAATCTCTGAAACTGACATGTAATTTAATCATATACTTAAAATCATCTTACAGTAACTGTAACACCTTTTGTTCAGGGATGTATATAAAACACATGACAATATCCTAGTTCTGATGAAAGACTTTTGTCAATGAATGAATTAATGAAAAGGAAAAGGTAAACAACTACATTTTACCAACCATAATCCATAACTCTGGAGAATCATTTTATTATCTTTCCTTGACTATAAGGAGTTTAATACTAACAAAAGTACTTTTTGTCTAGATCATTTTCGTTGAGCATACAAATGCCTAGCTGCTTATTCTAGTAATGTGATGCTGAAGTGAGCACACTAACTGCCTATTCTTGTTTTACTTATTATCATCTGCCCAGTGGATTAGTGACAAAATGTTCAAGAGCTTTCTGCATGAAATATCTCTAAACTATGAAGAGTCTTTTGGATATAATAATTCTACGAAGGCTGCTGCTATCTTTATTTAAGGTTCCAACAACTATAAACATAAATACAGCAGTACTTTGGTTTACAAACTTAAATTTGTTTTACGACTGATGCGTGTTTGTGTGCAGAAGATAGCCATGGCTGTATTTGTCACCGGATATGGAGTTTGTGAACAGAAGCAAAATTTTGTCGAATGCTTTTATGAATTGAATTTTTTGCAAACAGAGGTGTTCATGAACCGAGGTATTACTTATAATGCCTACAATGGGTTGTTTCACATTTTGAAAGATCACTGCAAAATGATAAACTTTCTATATAACTATAAAGGCAATAGTTTGTACAAATTTTGGCAACTACTAAATATACAGTATTAGGAAGGTCATGAGCAAGAACTTTCTAAAAACTGAAGAGGGAAAAATAATGCATCATTTATTTAATAACACAAAGCTCAGTGGCGCTGGCCCTGCCTTGCAAGTGCAAGGTCCTGAGTTCAATCTCTGGTACAAAAAAACAAAAAGCAAAAAACACAAAGCACCAACAATTCAGATTCTGAATGCTAAGTCATTTTTTCTAGAGCATAACTGTATCTTCTACTAGTTGGTAAAAGGTTATATAATCTCCCTTCCCCAATTTTAAAAACTACTATATCAGTAGCAAAGCTTTCAATTAACTTCACTAAACCAAAATCAATTTAAGAAATACTATCCAAAGTAAGTGCAGTGCAAACTAAGGAGAAATCATGTTTATAAAAATGAGACAGCAAAATGGAACAGTGTTTTGTTACCAGGAAAAAAGAACTTCAATTGCAGAGAAAGACAAAGACATACTTAAGGTAAGAGTAGTTAAGCGTCGATCTGAAAGTGAAGTTCAATATGGCTTTTATGAACAAACTATGTTGTTACAAGAGCTCTTTAATGCTAATATTGCTTATCTGCCTGGTGAACATGAAACATTTATCAAGTAGGTTTTAGATAAAATGTAATAAGAATATATGGTTAAGGTGATTTAATGAACTTACCAACTAACAACAGCATATACATGTACAAACCTCTAAGGTGCTATAAAGTTAGCTAATATTTCAAAGTGGGTTTGCATCATGAACAAGCTTCAAAATTTTATCACACTACTAAGGCATATCAAGAAATTTATTTAGTTAGAGGTTCCAATTTTAAAAGAGCCAAGAAATCTTGAAGAGTCAACAGGTCTTGCAGAAAAATATCCCAAAGCATGTGTGAATACTGACAGTGGCTTTCTCAATATCATGCTACCTCAGAGAAATCAAAGAAGTTATCTATAACTATAATAATTGGCAATGCACAAAGAATTACATAAATGTTTTAATGAATCTTTGGCTGTGATTTAAAATTTTTTAGTAATTTTGGAAATTACTTATTTGCTGTTATACCTTATAAATACTGTAATAGTGTGGCATGTTTGAGAAGTGTTAAGAAAACCACTTTTGTATAACTGCTTTAGAATTTACTTTACAATATAAGATTCACATAATTTTGTATAACTTCTCATTTGCATTACAATGAATCGTAACTGCCAAACATTCATCCTCATGTGTCCCCTCTCACTCTCACTTTTGCCATTTGAAAATGACTTCCTGAAACCCTAACCTTCATTTTATGTTCAACGTGATCAATGTACGAAAGGTTCTTTTTCAGACTATAAGGCAATGAAATTTTAATGAATTTTTCTTTCTTGATTCTCAAAGGGAAACAATACAAATCAAGAATTATGAAATCAAAAGAAATGTCTGCTAAATGAAAACGTAATTGCTATCTAATCTACAAATTTTACATTAGGACCTCGTGAACTAATCATTAGAGTTTAGCCTGAGCCCCATAAACTAAAATCATCCTGGTCAGCTATTGGCAGAGACAATTATTTTAAGCCACACCTTAAATGAAGGAGAGTGAGCAGGGTTTATTTCCAATGAACCCCTGGGGACTGCCAAGCCTGATCCCATCCTCTATAGCTTGAGTGGAAAGACAATCCAGTAAACAGGCAACAATATTTACAATAGGACACAATATTTCATTCCACCAGTCTAAAACATATAAATTAATTTACAACATTACTTCTTGATCTAAACATACTTTAACTGTATCAATCTGATAATAAGCCCAGTTTTAATGTCACTACTATTATGGCATAATCACATAATAGCCAAGACAATATAAGCATGTGTATTTATGAGCCAAAATATACAGCACAATGGACTAAAAACAAGCATAATAAAACTCACCTTCATTGGGAGATGTTTTCAACTTGGTGCAAATTCCGTAGACATCTCCATAGCTTTCCTGTATTTTTCGTAATGCATCTGTGGACCTGAGCTCCATAAGAGCCCGCAGCTCTGCGAGCGTAATTCCAAAGTCTCCATCATGATTAGCTTCTTTCAAAGAGTTTTTCACACCACTGTACGCAACTGAATTGTTTGCCATGTCGCCCATTACAAGTATAATTTATTGGAGGAAAATGTTTCCCAAAAGAATCTAATTTTCACTTGATGTATTTCCAAGATGAAAATCTTTTAAATATGAAAATTTTTCTTAAACCAAACACTCATTGTATGACTTTGTAAAGCAGCATCAGCAGCAACATTTCCCAGAGAAATATCTTGACCTTTGGCCCATGACTTGTTTCTTCATATCAATCATGAGATGTACACATCTGTAGGAAGAAAATATTTAAAAGTTAGTAAGATCCATCTTAGAATATTACGCACATAAGCACACTTTCTGTATATCATCAGGTAACTAATCAAAGTGTACCGCTTTATGATAGAAATATTTGAGAACTGTTTAATGCCTTTAAAGTTTTGGATGATAAAAGATCCAAATATGATGTCTAAATGAACTTCGTCAAGACATTAGATCTTGTCATTATGAAATGAAACTATTTCATGTGACTGAATTTCATGTTCCAAGATTATTGTTACCACTGAAGTACTTAGTTTCAAGCACTGTGCTGACTACTCAAGAGTTCATCCTCTCAATTAATCATCACAGTTTAATCTTGTGAGGTGTTACTAGTCCTCACTCTGCTAAGGAGTAAAGCTCAAGGGAATTCAGTTTTCTGTAAATGGGTGTGAAATGTCTAAGGCCAGACCATCTTCAAGCTCACGTTCCTTTTCATACATGGGCCTATCCCTCTCTAAAGCTTTCACACAGAACAGTCTTTGAAAGGATAAGCAGCACAACAAACTCTCTGATATGGTTTCCTGCAAATTTCCTTGGCCATTCTGCCCTCCATCCTTTGGCTTTCTAAAACTACCTTCCACATGATTTCAGTCACATTTTATCACCCCAGGTCCTCTTTGACTAGTTAGAGAAATCCTCCACTTTTCGATCAGTCTTTTCTGCCGCCTTTGTTGCTGTTGACCCTCATTACCATCCAAAAGTATTCTGTTCATTCAGTCGCGTGTCACTGTCTTCTACGCCTCCGTATTCTGAGAGTAGGACTGCCCGTCACTGCATTTGAGAATCCAGGTGCCAGACCACAGCAGGCAATAAAACCTGGGACAAGTGGATGTACAGTACTGTTTCAGTCTCTCCACCACACTCTCCTCTTATTCTAATCTACCCACAGATGAGTTCTCAACTTTTTCCTTTAAAGTAACAATCACCTCAACATTAACAAAGACTGAATTTACTATACTCCCTAATTAAACAGCTCTCTTCCACAATCACCACTACCCTAATCACCTGGGTTTGGAATCTTATTTTTGTTTCTACTCTCCAAACCTCAGTCGAGTTTGGTTAATTCTTCCTTTAAAAAGCCTCTTGTCTTTCTAATCTTCAAATAACTATGCAAATTATAATCACTCCTCCCAGGTTCTTCCTCATTATAGTATCTCTTACATCCAATTCCTTGTGCACTGGTCTACTACATTTAGTTTTAAAATAGGCATCATGGCACTGTATCCATACCTACAGGAAAAAATGCAGTCCTATTCCTTACCCGTTTGGCATTCAAGGCCAAGTTCCAGTTTACTGATTCAATTTTCCCCCCAAGCAATCAATCCTTCAATGACATTTAATAAAATGTTTGATGATTATGAACTAGAAAAGATACTGGCAAGTGCAATTAATCTCTAAGCTATAAAGCTGTTATGAGGATGTTTGCAAATCATGGTATGTAATCCACATACTTCAGCATGCACCAAAGTCACCTGGAGAGCTGGGTAAAATACAAATTGCTGGGCCCCACCTGCATAGTTTTAAAGTCAGGAGGACTAAGCAGAAGCTCCACAATTTGCATTCTATCAAGTTCCCGGACAATGCTATCTGTATAGGGAGCTCAATGTGAGCAGCACTGGACTGGAGAATTGATTAAAAACTTAGACTACATACCAGGGAGTTAAGGATGATGAGTTGATAAGTTTGTTTGCCTTGGGTTAAATTTACACTATGACATTGTCTTTCATTGTGAGACATTGTCTTTCATTGCATGCTTCCTCCCATTTCACATACTCTTATGCTTGCCCCCAAATTACCAATTTTATTCATGTCACAGGTAAAGTGGATTTCCTCTTATTATACCTCAGTTACTATAATAACCCAACTTCAAAAACAGGAAAAGGGTGCTTTGATAATCTTAAGTTCCCGTACTCAAGATCTGTTCACCTAAACATCATACCAAACCTAAAAGAAGATTATTTGTCTAATAGGTAAAATAATTAAGATTCATAAGTCTGTGTGTTGAGGGCATGGGTGTTCATCTGTCGTCTGGTTTTCATAAGGAGGAATTTTCCTAACTCCTGGCTCGCTACACCACCAATTATTACTGAGGTGAAATGTCCTGCTTGTCCAGAGATTTTCCTAGAACTAGACATACATAGCTTCTCTTCTATCTGCCTTTTTTGGGGGAGTCAGATACATGTAGGACTCGTGCATTCTGGTTTGAGATTTAAGAGGTAAATCTCTGAGCTAAAAAGTCTCTTGTTGTTCAAAGAGCCTGGAGTAAAAGAAAATAATTGATAGTTCTGGGTTCAATGTTAGTAGCTCATTACTGCCACACAAAAATCACTTTTTCCATTTCAGTTTTTATCAGTTATAAAATTCATTTAAAAAATTCCTATCTGCCAATCTTTGTCTTTCCTCTATACGAATCTGAAATAGGAGAAGAGAATGTTGTAACTGGATGCCCTTAATGCCCTTAAACTCCTCAACAAGTAGGTGAGCCCATACTGTAATTCACAAAGCCCTTCTCTTTCCACAATACTGTCTTCACACTTATTAGGCCACATGGAAGTTTCTGTAGGTCAAAACATAGTCAAATAATAGCAAATGTCCAATTCATATAATAAAATCAGTACTGAAGGGATATTGCTGGGGGTATTTGTTATTTACCACCTCAACATCCCTTTCTTTATCTTTCAGTAATAATATCAAGTTTTGTTAGAAATTTGCCCTTCCTCAAAGCTTGCAATGTGAAAGGGACTCATCCCAGACACTCCCCAGCCATTCACATTAGGAATGTGAATGTGACCCAAAAAAAGGTAAGTGGCAAAGAAACGTGTTGTGACTCTGAGGCAAAGATTTATTTTTTTCACTGCACTGAAATCTGAGAGAGATGGAAAAAGATACTGTGAGTTTTACGGCCATCTATTAGCACAGGGAAAGCCTCTGAGGGGGCACAAGTGAGCATGTGCTGGTCAGTCCTAAGACTTCAGCTGACTCCCTCCTGGGTCATGACTAAAATTTGTCCCATCATTGGTCATGTCTATTGATAACTGATCTTTTCAGCAATTTGTCAATAAATTCCTTATGGAGTTGATTTTCTATGGAGTCACTTTGCAACTCACAGAGCTGTGATAAGGAGAATATTACCAAGCATTATCAAATTGCTCCACTGTTTAAAAAAGGATGTCCAGGAAAAGTATCAAATGCCAGGTTGTCTACAGCCTCCCTCTTCTACTTTCCCCTTTTATCCTCTTTCATTTATTCAACTGGCTGACTGACAAAAATGCTAAGGGCAACAAAAAGTTCTGCTTTCCACCTGTTAGTGACAACATAACAAGTCAGAGAAACTATTTGGGATTGAGATAAAACAAAAAGCAGAACAGCTATTCTGATTCTCTAAAGGACTTTTAGCTTCTATTAGAAAAGTTTAAGAAAAAATGTCAAGCAGAAGCTGAGATCCAGAAGAGAAAAGTTTTAAAGAAAACACATAGCTACTCTATACAGGATGCTTAGCCTACAAAATCTATCCCAGAATAAGCAACATCTCTGCTCAAACCCCTACTGGTAGTCTTTGAGGCATTATGAAGAAAAAAAAAGGTAGCTGAAAGACCAGAATTGGACAACAATGGCCATAATCTTCAAAAGTGGCAATAAAGTAGATTCTTACAGATGTGATTAGGCATGGCCCCAAAAGACAACAAAAGGATGATGGATCCTAGTGAGTGAAGAGACAGCTTTATTAAAAGTACAATTTCAAGGCCAGGGATTTAGCTCAGTGGTTCATCTGCCTGCCTTGAAAGTGCAAGGTCCCGAGTTCGATCCCCGTAGCAAAAATAATTAAAAAAATACAATTTCAATTCCTTCTTTCACAGTCACTTGACTAATAAATCATGGAAAAGTAGTATGAAAGTTACAAATCCCTCCATCACTTAGAAAAATTAAAAGAATATAGGAAAACAGCTAAGTAAATTATGGTATGAACTATGGTGTCAGATGAACTATTGAGCTCTAAAAATGATTTGCAGTATTATATAGAAACATGAGATTTTTGCAGGCAAGATAGAAAATAAATGCTAATAAAACTAAGAATATTAGCAATAGGAGGAACAACCAGGAAAAACAGTTAATTTTTCCAATTCCTAAATGATTCTAAGCTTTTGCTAGTGACTTGAAGATGTAGAAATTGTATTTATCCAATCTATAAATACCTTGAAGCCAGGTAAATCAGCAAATATGTTAGAAGACAGGATCAGGATCCGAACAGGCAGGTATGAATGAGGCTAAGTTTAACTGGTACATAAATTCTGTATTTAATTCCCAAACCCTAACTGTATGACTATGACACACAAGAAATGTAACAGTCTGTGTATATATATATATAGATAATGGTACAATTTATTAAAGGTAAATATGCATTGACTTGGTATTAATAAACTTTATCATATCAAGCTATTAACCTTAATCAGAGTAAACACTTGTAATCACATACTTCCAAAAAAGGCAAGAATGCTTATAATAAATGCCAAGTACTAAACATTCACAAAAGCATTCAAAACAACAATAATAAGTGACTAACATTTAAATCACAGAACAATGGATAACAATGTGCAGGTTTTAAGAAGGCTCCTACTATCAAAGAAATGACTACTATCATTTCAAAATGATACTGACATCCTAGCCACTAGATACACCGTTTGATGGACAAAAAACTAAAAAATATTTCTGACTACAGCTTTTCCAAAAAAGAATGTTCAATAGATCTCCAA